TTAGGACCTTTAGTTTTGAAACATTTATTTATTTATCTTTCCCATTTTGACCTATCAAATAAAATGTATTCTTTCATGTGAATATCCAAAGTGAGGGAGGACACTGTGACATGTCTCATGAACTGCTGTTCCAAGGTAGTATTTACAAGCAATCCCTCGATCTGGATTTTTTTAAAATTTTATTTTTATACATTTAGAGGGTACAAGTGCAGGTTTCTTACATGCATATATTGTGCAGTGAAATCTGCATTTACCAATCATTATTTTAAACTGCTCTTTGGAATGCAGGGAGGTCCAGGAGCAGGGCTTTGGTTTGCCATGCTGCCACCTGCTTCGGGTTTGCCCAGCTTTCTGTTCCTTCCCTACCCCTTTTAATGTCTGGGAGTTAGTTACACTGAAGTCCCACTCCATACAGAGATGCCTGCAACTTGAGATGCAAACGCCAACACTGTGGGCCACTTTTTAGAGGCCTGTGGTCATTCGGGAAACAAAGGCACTCCTGTTTCCTCTTCTCAATAACAACATCAGATTAATAGAATCTTTAAATTCTTGAACTATGCTCCCAGAATAGTTTGTGTTTGCTTTAACACAAAGGAATACTTTACGAACCCTAAAGGTCACCCAAGAAATAAGAGAGAGTCGGCTTACGAATCGTGTATACTGGTAGATTTTTGGAGAATGGCAAGTGTCCTAGGCAATGTGCGCTGGATTTGGAGCGACCTTGGCATGGGAGTACTCTGTGATTTACTCTGGAGAGGCATTTCCTGGGCACGGAATCCCCTGTATTGAAGGAGCATGCCATTAGGAGAAGAAGAAATGGGGGTGGGGCGGGGTGGGGAAGAGGAAGGCTTCTTGGTTCACATTCTGGTATTCACTTAATGAGTGGAATGTTCTTGCTAATGGGATTTAACCACAATACCTATCCCTAACCTTGTCACCGAAAAGGTAGTCTACATGCCTCTTTTGTTCAATACCGTCTGGCTGGTAACTGTGCAAAAGTCTGTTCTCCCCATTTTCTAAGTGGTAATCCTAGAATTATCTTGGCTCAGAAATAAATGAAGAACTCGTGTACAGGACTCAAATTTCCCTACAGGGGTTGTCACTGAAACAAGGATTAAGTGCTGGTACACAAAACCTCTCAAGCAACGGACAACATGTCAATTGCTAAACATTCTATGGTAGAAGGCCTTTAGTTTTTCTCTTTTATAAAGCTTGAGATCAAGTTTTGGTAAGGAGTAAAAAAGCAAGGCAATTTAGCTCCTCTAAAGGGTTGCTTGTTGGGAAGGACAGAGCTATATTGAGCTCCATGGCTCTGTTTCCAGGAAGCTAAAGCAACAAGGCAATTAAATGGTGAATTGTGTGTGTGGAGAGGGGGTCCAGGAGGAGGGCAGGTTAGGGAGATGGTAAAGTAGGCCTTAAAAAAGAGTCTGTTTAGGAAAAAAAAATCAAAACAGTTGCAAAGTATCATGAAGATATAACAGCCTATTGATGGCCACCTGTTGCACCTCACAAACCTTTATTTTGAAGTGGAGCAGACAGAGCCTGAATATAAGTTAGCTAATCAGGTATACCCCAGACTCCCCCTATGGTAATAGTGATAATAAACTACCTGTCATCTATTGAGTACCTACTATATACCAAACACAGTGCTTTAGTTCTATTAAGCCATTTAGTGTTGACAACTGTGCTCTCAGCAGCAAATAACAAGAGGGTCTTGCCCAAGATCACATAGCTGCTAAGTGATTGAAACAGAATTGAATTTTGTTCTCTTTCTCTCCTCACTTTTAGTTGCTTGTACAGTATACCTCCTATACTCTTCTTTACTGCACCGGCATTTTATGATTTTAAATTCTTATATTACAGCACTTTGACCTTCTAGGAGAAAGGAATGAAATACATCTCTCTCCCATCATGTCCCTACCCGTATACTTGTGTGCTTGTGTGTGTGTATGTGTGTATGTGTGTGTGTGTAACATCTACATCTAAATCTACAATTTAAGTGGAGTGATATCCTTAAAAAAGGAATAATGAGAAACTCTCATTTACATTGTAATTTACATTCAGATTTCCTGGAACTGTAGCTTTACTCTTTTTTTCTTTTATTAAAAAAAAAACTCCTTTTATTTATTATAATTCCTGAAGATTTGTCTCTGCTCATGTCCTAGATATGGGGTTATGGGTGTGGGGCAGACATCAGCGAGATAGACCTGTGTCAGGAAACAAAACAGTAGGTTAAAATTGAGTGTCATAAACTAGCTCTCAGTGGTCATTTTTCTCTCATTTTGTATGGTAAACCTAAGGCCTGTTCGATTTTGTATCTTTGAATTTAAACCCTGGGTAAACAGGTAGATGGCAGCCAGTGATCCCAAATGGAAATTGTTGACTTATAAAAGGATAAATAATTTGACCGAATCTAAACATAGAATTCTTCTTCTCTGGAGTTTAAAATCCCAGGGCATTTTAGTGCAACATAATTTTTCCTTTTCATACCTATTCCCTTATTGAAATAGGTGGGAATCAAGAATTGCATCCCTGAGGAGATTGATTGATCAGTGTTCTTTCTGAAAAAAGAAACAGTATATGAATAAGAAGTATATTTCCTTGAATGATATAGTTGTTAGGCTAATACCTTTTATAAAGAAGATATTCAAAAGAAGGAATTTCTTCCTTTCCTCCATACCTGAATGTTTATTTCTAAATTTGATATCTGAATAAACGTTCAGGTATGGAGGGCCTAACAAGGCTGTTCTCAAAGTAGACAAAGGAGTACTTACAATCTTATTGAATCTCTTTGGAGCTAGTTGGACATGACCATTGCTCAGGTACTATACAGCTCTTCTATTCTTTGAATCAATAGTAGCCCAATGCCCTTTCATTTCTGGGTCCATTCATTTAGGGATGGGATGGAGTGATCAAAAAAGCAAAATTCAGCTGTTGGGTCTAGAGGTAGTTGTAGATATAAATCAGAATATTTCTCCCTCCCAGATCAAAGAGAGAAGTTCTTATATCTGCTCATGTTTGAAGCAGAGCAGCAAAAATGGTGGTAGATATAAAAATCTAGCCTTGTTACAAGACCTGGGAAGCAATTCTTAGGGGGATGATCTTGCTGTCAGTTACCTGAGATTATTTAATTACAAGCAACTCATGATTACCTGTAAAGGGGAGAGATGCAGTGGAAAACTCAAACAATGGTTGTTGCAAAATCATATAAATTGGCTTGGGAATATCCCATATGACTTTCCCCCCAAGAAATTTGCCTTCCTAATTATGTTTTGCTTAGCCCAATATTAAAAATTAGTTTGTTTCCCCAGAGTAGCTCTGAAGTTAAACTGTGGAGGGAGTTGGTTCAAGAGCATGCCAATTGGAATACAGAGGATGAAACATTTCCTGGCACTAATGTGGCAAAAAATCCCAAAGTTATTTTAATCTTAAAGAAAAACATAATCTTAAGCACCTTACCAGCCATCACATATTATCTGAACTGCTATAAACATTTGTAATGATTACATAAATGAGATTATTTTTATTTAGATATGTGTGTTTTTACCTTGAGAATGTGTGTTCTCCCTCTCATCCTTCTTGGCAGCTAAAGCAAATAATAAACCAAATTTCACAGACTAAAGCATAGTGCTCTGCACACAAAATTGCATCAGAAATATTTGTTGAGCGAATAAATTCTCCTGCTTGGGAAAGGTCTTGTTGTGCAGCATTGAAGATAGATTAGGCTAGGTTTTGAAAGTTAGACCTAGAGGCGGCTGAAAAATCTTGGATCCCTGGGCTACAATGTTGTTGTCATGGGGGGTTCTTGATGGAATTATCTTCTTTCTTCCCTCCCTTCCTCCCCCCCTCCTTCCCTTCCATCCTTTCTCCCCTCCTTTCTTCTTTCCTTCCTTCTCTCCCTCCCTTCTCCTTCATTCCTTCCTCCCTCCCATCCTTTTCCCTCCTTCCTTCCTCCCTCCTTCCTTCCTCCCTCCTTCCTTCCCTCCTCCCTCCTTCCCTCCTTCCTTCCCTCCTTCCTTTCTTCTTTCCTTTATTCCCTACCTCCTTCTCTCCTTCCCTTTTTTCTTTCTCCCTCCCTTCCTCCCCTCCCTCCCTCCCTTCCTCCCTTCCTTCCTTCTTTCTTTCTTCTGAATTTAAATGATTTCATAGTCTAATATTCCTAGACTATATGCAAACTTGAAAGTAGGCATATATTCCTGAAATTTATGGCTCTGAAACAATTGCAAATCCGGTACAAATTTACAGATTGAATTCAAACAAAATGACAAACTCAATATTCAAATTAACAACACTGACTTAACGTGATGGACGATGGTTTGCTAACATTAAATTGCTACTCACGGCATTAATGTTGTTTCAACTGAAATGCTGACGATGTTTCGATTTTAGTATGCCTATATTTCCTTGTGATGTATAAGACAGGTTCTTTAACACTTTTCTTTATTTAAACTGCTGCAAAGCTTTGGTCCACACAGCATGCTGAATCATCATTTGACCTTCACTTGGCATGAATCCATAATTTACTTGCTGGGAGAGGGGTCCAGGTTTTGTGGGGCCTGAAGAGTATACAATTTTTAGGGCTTTTAAATATATATATATATATAATAAAAGTGAAACAAAATTGCTAGGGTCCCTCCCAAGACATTGGAAGGAATCTGCATAAGAGTTGAAGCTCAAGCTTCATTAGCTTCATTCTAAATCCATCTGTGTTCATGTATCAAGCCCTTCTCTATTTTTTTCTTGTTGCTTATAAAAAATGGTAACAATGAGGAGTGGCATTTTTAAAATAATTTTGGGAAGATCAATCTTAAATTACACATTAGTGTATTTAAAGATTACTCTCAACCTAAAAACAGAAAATTAAATATTGTCATTGATGACATAGAGATGATTGAGAAATATCTTTTTGTTACATTCTTTCCCCTTGATAAATTCCAAGGAGGAATTGCTGGGACCAAGTTTTAGAGCTCTCACCACACTTTCCTTGGTTGGATTTACAGAGGTCAAAGTTTGGAGTGCAACTAGAGAGATTAGCAGTTCACTCTTCCCAGCCTGCCTGACTTCTCATAGCTTAATCTTCGGGCACAGCTGCTGTGAGTACACAGACCCTGGGACTCATATCTTGCCCTGCTCCTGGCCCGAGGACAAGATTGGGAGGAGCTGTGGGCAGGTAAGGTTAAAGGGAACCTCATGCCAACATTTCTCTGGAGGGCAGAGGGACAAACAGAATCCAGAGGTCAGGATCTACCTCGGGGACAATGTCTCAGAGTCCAATGGTTGCAATGAGATGTGTTATGAGTCAGAGCCAGGGAGGGAAAGAGCAGGCACAGATGATGTTGAAAGGTCAGCCAGGCAACGGAAGCCAGGGGTCAGGAAGAATTCGGAGCTACAATTCCAGCTGGAACACATGGTAGGGTGGGGGGCAGGTATTCATATCAAAATCAAGCAAGCTTTATTTTTCAGGACCCAAGATCTTCCTGCCCTCCTTTCCTGGTAGGTCTCACATCTATGGGATTCTTCCTGGGCTCATAGACAGTAGGTCTGAAACCATGCATAAGGACAGGAAATGGGGTGGCTCTTCCTTACTGAGGAGATTCTGGAATTATTTTTACCAGAGTTGATAGGAGAATAAAATATGAGTCAAGATCAGACCTCTCCTTGCAGGTTCTTTTCCTTCTAAGACAGGAGAATCTTCAGAGAAGTCCCCATAGAAGAGAACCCTCATGCTGCAAGTACCCAGGATATACATTCTGATTTGAGCTGAGTTCTAAGAAAATCTTTATTTTGGGACATTTGAGGCTTGTCATCAAAGAACTCTAACTTTCTATCTCCCTACCTTATGGGTTACTATGAAGTTCAAGTGATAGAGTGTGTGTGTGTGTGTGTGTGTGTGTGTGTGTGTGTGTGCAGTCTTCTATATATTTTCTATTTTCTATATATATTTTTTTTTTTTTTTTTATGTATGTGAGAAAGTGTTTTGTAAATGGTGAGGTACTAGCGTATACCAGATTGTTATAATCCCATTTCTGTCCAGTGGAGATGCTGATTTTTATCTTGCTTGATAATTATTTTCAGGTGAGATTATATCACCTGATAAATACTTTTTATTTTTCTTCTCTTTCCTTTTTTTTTCTTTTGTTTCTCTAGTTTTCTGGTGAAAAATGATTCCATTGGAAATTTTATAACAGAACAAATGTTTTCAGAGAAGGTAGGGATTTTCAGATTTAAAAGAAAAACTTTCCCTAAAACTCAGAGCAGCTAGAGCTCCTAGGAAACCCCTTTATCTAATCAATCTAGTCTTAACTATAACAAGCTCAACTGATGCTTGGGTAGAATATAAATTCCAAGTCATAGGAGGTCTTATCAGTTATAATACTGAGAAAGAATTAGTCACTCTGTTTTGGTAAGATGATAACTGTGGGCTAATTCATTTTTCTTGAAATATTTGGGGGATTTGAAAGCTTAAGAAGTAAACAGGTTGTTTTGTTCAGGGAACCTTCTCTGAAAGAGTGACCAGGGTTCATCTGATGACATTAGCTTTGCCACTAATTTCAATGATGTCAAGGGCACACGGGAGATTAAAGAGGGATTAAGACCTGCTTGCACAGTCAAAGCATCACAGTAAATTGACTTGACTTGGCAGGCTGCACTTCAGGTTGGCACCTTTTCACCACCTAATCATATACAATCCAGGTTTGTGGTGTTAGCTAGGCTACTTTCTCAGAGGCCAAGAAATGCTAAGCAGGCAAGGTGGCAGGTGAAATTTGCCAGGAAGAGGTGGATGGACTTCAGGAGAATGCTCAAGGCCAAGCTGCCACATGAGCTGCTGAGGAGGATTAAAACATTAAGGAAAATGTTTTTTGTTTTTTTTCTCAGAATCTTTCAAAAATGAATTTCATTTTCTACCGACCCTCCTTCCACCCACTCCCAAGTTTTCCAGATATGCGTTCCTCCTAAAACCTTTTTAATCCCTCAGGTTATTATCAACTCTTCTGCAAAAGGAGTCAGGTTTGCCCAGGAACTTCACTGAATAAAGATGAGTTTATATTTTAAAAAGGAAACAGCTGGATGGCAAAAGCCAGGGAGGGAAGCAGCTCTTGTTTCATTAGTGAAGGGAAACTCGAGGGCCCGGAGAGAACAACTGGGCTGGCAGCCACAGCGGGGAGAAGAAAAGGAAACACATGATCATAAAGAACTAATCATGAAAAATGGAAAGTGAGAAAGAGCCAAGAACAACAAGCAATAAATAGATTCAGAAGGGGGGAAAGATGAAGAGGAATGCAAAGCTATGCTCAGGAAGGAAGCAACAGGAGCATGTGCGTTTCTTTTGAAAAAAATTAATAATTCTGAACATCATAAAAATGTCTTGAGGAAAATGTTTTAAGATAACTTTTCAGACCCAGGTTTTATTTCTATGTGTTATTTCAGAGTCTACTTCAGTGCATGAAAAAAAAAGTCAAATGGAACTAGAGGGAGAAACTTAACATACAATGTGCCTGAGTGGTTGGTTTCCCTCTGCTTTTTAATTTTTTTTTTTTTTTTTTTTTT